ACTGTGGTTGTATAGTAGGTTTTGAGATCTGTGAATGTGAGACCTCCTACTTTGTTCTTCTTCTTCAACAGTGCTTTGCTTACCCGAGGTCTCTTTCATTTCCATATAAAATTAGTGATTGGTTTTTCCATATCCTTACAGAATGTTGATGGGATCTGGATTGGGATTGCATTGAATGTATAGATTGCTTTGAGTAGTATTGCCATTTTCACAATGTTCAATCTTCCTATCTACAAGCATGGTATGTTCTTCCATTTATGGAGATCTCTTATGGTTTTAGGAGCTCTGATGTTGTAGTGCCTAAGGCATTTGACTGCTAACCAGAAGGCTGGTGACTCAAACCCACCAGGCTTGGAAGGAAGAGTGGGCAATCTACTTCTGTAGTGATACTGCCTCAGAAACCAAGGAGGGGTCGCTATGAGTCAGATCCTACTTGACGGCAGTGAGTTTTGTTTTGTTTTTTTTCTCATGGCTTCTTGAAGAAGTGTTTTGTAGTTTTCTTTGTACAGGTCTTTTGTGTCTGTAATGAGATTTATTCCCACTATTTTATTTTGTTGGTAGCTATTGTAAATAGTTTTGAGTTCCTTTTAAGCCATCTCTTTGCTGGTGTAGGGGAATCCAACTGATTTTTTACTTTCATTATTTAATGTCACTTTTATCTTGATTTATATTTTAATTGTGAATTTTTTATCAGGTACAATGTAAGCAATCCCTGCATGAAGAGAAGGCACACCATACCTTCATTTTAATTATTTTTGCATTTAAAGTATTTGTTTCTTATATACTTGGATAAATGAAATTTATTTTAATTATTAAATTGGTGACCATTCTTCTTTTTAAAGATAAATGGAACACAATTACCTTTCCCAATTACAATTGATGTCTGCGGAATGAATGCATAAATAAATTTTCAGGTATTTCACACCTCATCTTTAAACCTTAAGTAATGGTGCACATGTATAATGAGATAAATGCAGTCTTAAAAAATGCTTGGTTGACCTGGTGATACACAACATGAGCTAAACAGGACTTTTGTTTGTTTTGTTTTCTTTCATTGAAAGCACTATTTTCGTACATAGGCTTTGTAGTGAGGTACTTCCTCCTCAGCATCAGTAAGGACTGAACTAGGAGAGGATAGGGTCCCATTTTAAATTCAAACAAACAAATCAAGATTTGACAACAGGTTAGTGGTTATGTCATTTAATAAGATGAATCTAATTAACATAGATAAATGTCTACAAACATAAGGTCTTTACAACCTTACAGCACAACTTTATGCCACATTAACTCACAGTAACTCAATTATCTTCACATTTGGCAATAATGTCATACAAATGAATGTGCTGATGATAAAGAAAATTACAAAGTGAAACCAAGGCCACTTAATCTTAAGAGTCATAAAACAAAGAAATCCTAGGAATGAAGGTAAGGCAGGACACTGCAGCTGTCCAGATATGGTTCTCATCTAAGCTAAGTTGAAGCTAAGCCAAAATTTGCTGCAACAAATAAAATAAGTATCTCCTCTGAATTACTAGAAAAACAAGTACAATCTAGCACTAATCTGTGACCAAAAAATTAAAATATTTCTTGAATACATGATTAAAAGAAAAAAACAATCTTTGAAAAGAATATTACCATTCTTATGTGTTTACACCAGAAGCTCTATTTCTGGACTAAAAACATTATTCAGTGTTTGCTTAAGAATCACATTTGGACGATAAATAACCTCCCCCCCCCCGAAAAAAAAAGAAACCCAAACGCACTGCCATCGAGTCAGATCCGACTCATAGTGACCCCTCTTAAGAGCTCTATAGGAAAAACTAAGAGACCTTCTAATTCTGCTTTAATACCCAACTAAACAGAGAAACTTAAAATTTCACTAAGATCACGGTTTGTCCAATTCAACAAGTGCTATCAAAATTCAGCCACCAGCTTCTTTTTTCTGTTCAGGATAAACTGTACATCATCACAAATCTTTTCTAACTTCCCTTACAGAGAAGAAAGTGGAAAATCAATCCATGGCATGATGGTTACAGTAACGTATTTCCTCCTCAGCATCAGGCAAAGAAGTTCTGTTGCACTGTTACATGCTATTGTATTTCAACAGGTGATTCAACTGGTCCTGCAGATCTGATGACTGTTTAACATTCCTCTGAATAGCTTCTTGGTGGTATTGAAGATGTGTTGTTATTATTGCCATTTTCCTAACTATCTTCTGAGTACAAGATGGCATCTTCCTGTAGCACCATGTTTCGAGCTGCCTGACCTAGCAGCTCGGAGCTCCAGGACCTTCAGCACCTGCTTGGTGAGCACGATCACATCAATACCACAGGTGTTCACTTTCAAGGTGAGAAAGCCCTTTCATGGACTGACTGAATCATCTGGCATCCCAGTTGCCATCACCTCAGCTAGCCCAAACTGATTTCTGTATGTTGATCTTGTATCCCACCACTATGCTAAATCTCTCAATTAGTTTCAGTAGTTTTTTTTGCTGAGTCTCTTGGTTTTCTAGGTGTAGGATCATATCATCAGCAAATGGGGATAGTTTTACTTCTTCCTTACCAATCTGGATGCCTTTGATTTCCCTTTCTTGCCTTATTGCCCTGGGTAAGACTTCCAATACAATATTGAATAGAAGTGGTGATAGAGGGTGTCCTTGTCAGGTTCCTGTTTGCAAGGAAAATGATTTCAGTCTCTCTCCACTGAGAATAATGTTGGTTGTTGGTTTTGCATATATGCCCTTTATTATGTTGAGGAATTGCCCTTCTATTCCTATTTTCCTGAGAGTTTTTGTCAGGAATGGGTGTTGGATTTTATCAAATGCCTTTTCTGCATCAATTGATATGATCATGTGGTTTCTTCCCTTTGTTTTATTTATGTGATGGATGACATTGTTTTCTAACCTGTGAACCCTACTTGGTCACAATATATTATTTTTTAGATTTATTGTTGGAGTCTATTGGCTAGGACCACCACATAACTAAACATCAAATGGCCCAAACTAAGGCTTACAGGGCATTTTTGCAATTGCTATAGTATTTTCATCTTTCATATTTGATGACACTCCCTTATTTTTTGGCAAGGAAAACTATGGGAAATCGTATATAGTGAATTCCTCATTTGAATACATATCCAAATTAACCTAATTGTTCAAATCAAAACCTAGGAGCAAGGCCAAGTGCAAGGCTGTGAACAAGTGCATTCGGCCAGTGGGGGTGGGGGCTAAATTCCAGTTGTACTCTGCTAACTAATTCCTTGGGCATCATTGTTCTATTCTCTAATGTAACTATTTTGGCCATTCCCAGGAATTATCTTTGACTCTTGTATTTTCTTCAACCCCTGTTGCAACAGCTAGTTCTGTTGTCTTTATCTCCACGATATTCCCTGAATGAGTCCATCACTTAGCACTCCCACAGCTGCCAACCTAGTCCAAGCAACCATTCTCTCTTCCTGGGACTTCTGCAATACCTTACTCAGAGGTCTTCCTGCTTCCCACTCATGTCCCCTTAACCCACCAGTAAACCATTTTTCATTATTACTTTCAGAAGAATCTTTTCAAAATAAAAATACACTCGTAGCTTCCTACTACTACTGTAACAGAAATACCACAAGTGGGTGGTTTTAAAGAACACAAATCTATTTTCTCATAGTTCTGGAGGCTAAAAGTCCAAATCAGGGTCTCAGCCTTTGTAGGTATCTTGGGCATTCCTTGGCTTGTAGATAATCCTTATATGATGTTTGTTATTCCCACCAGCAATGCATGAACATACTTGTTTTCCCATAGCTTAGGAATTTTGAGTAGTTACAGATTTATTTTAAATTGCCATTTTCATTTTATGGTATTATCACAGTTAAGTGCCAGAAATAGGGAAAATTTATACTTATATCCCCCTTTTTTTTTAAAAAAAAAAGCTCATATATAATTAATAATATTGAAAACAACTGGAAATTTTTTGAAGCACAGAATACCTAAAGTGGGACTCAGATAGGAACCTAATTTCTTTTAATTCATTTTTAGTTACTCTGTTTCCTGAAGTAATTTTCTAGAAGTAAGTAGTTTATTAGACACTGTAAGATGCAGCATTTGTTTCTCTGGTAAGCTTGGTAAACATACGTTTAACACTCAACCTGTTAGAGGGACTAGGATCAGGCATACGACAGACAAGATAGTGTAACAAAAAGAATATGCAATTAAGAGTGTAGACACACACAAGGGTTTTAGTGATAGATGTTTTAAGTTGCTATGTGACTTTAGACAGCAGTTCATAATTGCTGCCAGCACTTCCTGGGTGCACATCGTTATTAAGTATCTTAGCTCTTAATCCAGTTATTTGTGTATCTAAATACAGGGGTCTGCACCAGAGGCTTTCTTGAGGTATTTTCTATTTCTATGTTCTTCAACTCTCTTATTTCTTTAAACTTTCTGTGCTAACTTGGGTAAATTTCTAACCTAAATTGTTATTAACATTATTGCTTTCTTTGAATATTATTTTATATTATACCATTACTTTATTTTTACTATATATTTCATACACATGAAAGAATAGATATACACATATATTTAAGAAATGCAGTATGACAATAAAAATGAACAGTTGCGTACTAACCACTAGGTTAAGAAATAGAATACCTAATACTCCTGAAGCCTCTGATATGGCTCTCTCCCTTACTACATTCTCCTTAAGCTGTTATTTTTATAAGTATTAATCATCTTCCATGAAGGCATTCAGGGAGGTTTGGCAGCACAGTGACTAAGGGATCTGACTGCTAATCAGAAGGTTGGTTGTTCAAACCCACCAGCCACTCTGTGGAAGCAGGACTGGGCAATCTACTTCTGTAAAGTTTTACTGCCTTGGAAACCCAGTGGGTGTCACTATGAGTCAGAATTGACTCGATGACAGTGGGTTTGGTTTTTAGGTTTTATGAAGGCATTCAATAACTGTGACAAAAATAAAGCTATCAAAGGGGAAATAACTCTAAACAACTACAAACTGAACTTAATTATTGTAACTTTTTATTACAATAGTTACAAATAATATTTTACTGGTATGCAATCATATCACAGTTATTCAAACTATATACAAATAAGTATTTATACAGGTCTACATTGAAAAACGGAAATGTAATTGATAACAAAAAAAATCACATTATCAACAAGGTTTTTTTTTCTAAAAGTTATGGCCAGTAACAAGAAAATTCACAGTAATTCTGCAAATATATTAAAGATACAGGAATAATATTGCACATAATACAGTTATAAACCTTAAATGGACAGATTTATATATTTTAATCTAGTCTTTCACAAAATTTACATTATCATGCAATACTTCACTGTATACAGAATGGTGGAACTAGAATACACAGGTTAACTTACACACTTTCAATATAATGGCCACAAAATTAGAATTTAAAGTTACATTTAAAATAATTTTGTTATAGTAAAAAAATTCCAGTGTAATAAACTTAACGGACACAATCATAATTTGTTCACAGATCATTTTTTAGTGTTCTTCTTTGTCTTTTCCTTTCTTTTCCTTTTCATCCTGTAGTGCAGTACCCAGCTTTTTGATAAGAACTGAAAGAACCTTATCCAGTGGATCCATGACTCCTCTCTGAAGCCACTTAGGAATAGTAGTCCTTGCATGATGAAAGCCCAATTTCTGAAGAATATAGTCAACGCCTACGGGATCAATCTTTCTTCCAGTCCAAGAAATTAACCTAAAATAATAATTATAAATAATAATAATTATAAAGGAATATAATGAACTATAAAATCCTGAAGGGGTGGGTTCCAAAACATCAATAAGCCTGTATAACATGCTCAAAGACACAAAATATTTTCAGAAGTTATATTTGAGTGATCTAATCTACAATTCCTGAACTCACTATAATAATAGCATTAAAAAAATAATATATGTATCAATATAAGTATCCTTAAAAACCAACAATAGGGAATGCTGAAAGTACCATGGATTGCTAAAAGAACTGGCAAATCTGTCCTGGAAGTAGTGCAGCCAGAATGCTCTGTGGAAGTGAGGATGGCCAGACTTTGTCTCACTTACTTTGGTCATGTTGTCAGAAGGGACCATTCTCTGGAGAAGGATGTCATGCTTGGTAAAGTAGAGGGTCAATGAAAAAGGGGAAAGCCCTCAACAAGATGGACTGACATAGTCGCTGCAGCAATGGGCTCAGGTATAGTAGGGATCATGAGGCTGGAACAGGACTGAGCAGTATTTTGTTCTGTTGTATGCAAGGTTGCTACGAGTCAGAGATGACTCGATGGCACATAACAACAACAATAAGGATAGAGTTTAAAGAATTTTATTCTGATTGATTTATTTTAGGCTTGTTAAGTTACATGGTCATCTTAAACACTTAAAAGGACATCAGGTTAATTCTAAAAGATTTCACAAGTATGTAGCATGTTTTTTAAAAAGGCTGAAATTTACTGAATATTTATGTGCTAAATATATTTGAAAGGAGAACCATTTTCTCCCTATTCCTTCCAATGGAGGAACAGCCATTAGGGAAACACTCCCAATCTTTCTCTGCCTCTATATTCATGGTTTATCTGACTGGCAAGGCAGAGAAGAACTGAGTAGTGTAATTCAGGAGTCCTCTCTTTCCCTTCCCTGGGAGCCACGCATTTTCATCTGTTTCTCTACACCAGAGGTTTTTCAGAGGCAGGCTCTTAAACAGCCAGAGAGTGTTCAGTGCTACCTATGGCTAGGTGAGCATACAGTGCTGTGCTGTACAGTGCTAGGGTGCCTCTTTCTTCTGCAACATTGAGGCCCTGTAGGTAAATCCAAACCTGGGAAAGTAGAAGGTAGAAAGTCATGGTTGCTAGACATTGAAACCATATTCTATGTGTGAGCTTTAGCAGTATTAATGCTGTTATTTTCATTTTCATCTGCCTCTCTCCTACTATCTCAGTTGATCCTGAACTTGGTGGGGGAAAATAAGGGTACTGAGCATTGATCCTTGAAAAATTCAATAATTGTAAGTGTTTTACATAGTGAACAACTCAATATTATAATCTGATTAACAAAGCAGAAGAGAGGAAAAGAAACAAAAAATAGGAAGGCTGTATTAATCACAAGTAAGGAGAGATAATACAAGTACAGCTAGTTACAGCAATTATAAATATAATTAGAAAATATTTTTGAAATCATGATATAAAACCAAACTGATGTAATTGGGATCCCCACTTTAGTAGACCATGACTCAGCAAAGTTATCTGAATCTGATGGTATTAGATTAGACATTTAAGACTTGGTTTTATATCGCTTCCTATGCAGACAGAAAGACACTGTGACACTTGGTTTTATTACATTGTCATGACATGTATCTTGTGGGAAACTGTAGCATTTCCTTAACGATGATGAATAACTTTTACTGCATCTTTCCAAACTAAGTAACACAATTAACAGCTTACCAGTAGCTACCTCAAACAGCTTAAGATAGCATCAGGTGAGAAGGCAGAAAATAATAGCAACTGTAGAAGGAGCTGATTCCCATCTTTTAGTGATTAACTGACAGAATGTAACAGAGTGAAACTACCCTTCTGCTTCATCTAGAATCACTTACAAAAACAGGAAGAATAATAATAATAAAAAATAAGACTGTAGACAAGTGGCTAACCTCTAAAAATTTTTTTGATAAACCATATTTAACCCACTATATTAATATTTTTTGTCATAGTAATCCCACAGGATATGAGGTAAAGTATGCATGTTCATTTCTTACCTAAGAGTAGGCTCTAGATGCCACGTGTTACACATAAAATCTCTCCAGTCCACAGTTGTATAAGTGATGCTGTCTTCTCTGTCTTTGTCAGAGGAATTGTCATCATGTATAATAATTGGACTTTTCTGTCCTGGTCGAGTAGATAAAATCCGAGGTGGAAAAATGGCTATAATGAAAATGACAAATCAATATTACAAATACGTATTTCATAAATTTCTTTTCAATCACCATCCCAAAACCCACTGCCATCAAGTTGATTCCAACTGATAGCAAACCTGTAAGGACAGAATAGAACTGCCCTATAGGGTTTCCAAGACTACAAATCCTCATAAAAGCAGACTGCCACATCTTTTTTCAGGGGATCAGCTGGTGGGTTCGAATAGCTGACCTTGTGGTTAGCAGCC